TATTTTTTTTTTACTCCAATATTTTTAAAACTTACTAAAATTAAATACAAAATTTAGTAACTGAACATTTAATTTGGTTAAAAAATAATTTTTTAATCATAAATGACAAAATTTTGTAAATAAAATAATAAAATAATCAAAGAAATAAAAAAAATATCGTCTTTCATTTGAACGTTTAAAACTTTTGGTACATCCAAAAAATATGAAAGATCCTGTCATCCTATAATTAAAAAATGAATTATTTATAGCGGACAGTTTTCATCTGAAAATCACCTGAATTCTTGTAGGGACTAAACTTTACACAATCCTAAAGAATAGAGAATTTTATTTCAATTTTTAAGTAGTAGCAGGTCCACCCGAACGCAATCAGACAATCAAAATTTGGTAAAAATGTAATTAAAAATTTTTTTTTCTTTTGAATTTAATAATTCTAATCGTTTGAAAATCAGGAAAAAGCAAAATTAAAATTTTTGTGTCAACTTTTTTTTTTTTTTATTACGTTAAAAATCATTTTTTTATTTAGATTCAATATTAAAAGATGAAACATCCTTAAAATGCAAAAATTTGTAAATATTTAAAAATTTATAAACTCATGGAAAGAAAATTTAGAATATATGAAAATTAGTACTTTCGATTTTTTATATAACTATATGCAATAGATAAAGTATGATTATAGTAGCTTAGAGAAAATAAATAAACCGCTATAAAGAATGTGTGTTCTGTAAATCACTGGAAACGATGATAAAATGTCAATTTATCAGAGGAGCGATCAGCTAAATTTTAAAATGGTCCAGAACGTGAGCAAATGTAGAAAAATTTACTGCACCTATATCTATATATTTCTAACAGAAATTTGTAACCTACTGTCGAAAATTTAAAATTTACGACACTTGTACAAAAGTTCTATGGAAATAATAATATTTTCGAGAAATTTTGTAATATTTTTATTTTTAATTATTCGAATTAACAAAAGCATAATATGCATACAAAAAGATAGATAATTTTCCAGAAACATATTATTACTTGTATATGGAAAAAAATTTTACAACACTAAATTTTTTATACTTTGTTTTTAGTGAATTAAAATTTAAAATTCTTATTTTTTATTTAATTAAATAATTTGTTTTAAACTATTAATCAATTTTTTAAATTAAATTCAATATCATTTTTGAATTTTCCTGTAAATTTCTATTTTTGATCGAGTGTACTCGAACTTTATTACTGTTTCAAGTAGACAATTATTTTTATGTTATGAAGAGAATAAATGAAAATATATTTTTTTTTCGAGTTGATGCAATAAAAAAATGTATAAATTATCTAGTTACAAATCCGTGGGTGATAGACGAAGTTTCTTAAAGAACGCAGTATCGAGCTTATGAGTTACTAAACTTCGTTTCCCCTTGTGCTTTATTTATCTTCGTAATTTGTTAAATGAAAGTCAAGTAGTTTTATATATACACTTTCATACACACATATAAACTTTTTCTTTTAATTACTTAAGTTATAATTGTTTAAAATATCACAAAGAGTTGTACAATTACAAGATGAAGATTTATCTTCACTGTTTTATATTAGCTTATTTCTTATTAATCTCACTGCTCTCTTATATATATACACAAAATGAAAAAAAATACAGTAAAATTTATGAGAGAATGAATAATATAAGGAGTAAGAAATTTCTCAGATTTCTGAAGTCTCTCTCCCTCTCTTTTAAATTAAGTTTATTTAGTAATTTTTAGAAACATTTTTCATTAATCAAATGCGTTTAAATTATTTTTACAACTGACGGAAGAATTATATTTGAAAAGACTTTTTTAGCCTGCAACTAATCTTCTTTAATTCTATTAAATTGCTTTTTAGAAAATAATAAAATATTATTAATTACTTTGGTCTAAAATATTAATAATATTTTATTATTTTCTCTAAATTAATACTATGATCAAAGAAAAATCACTTATGGATTTTTTCCATTTATTATCATTTAAATAAATATTTGCTTTAAGTCACATTTGTAAAATTTATGATTCGTACATTTTGGACTATCAAATGAACGAAATTTTTTTTCGATATATTTTTTTTTTTAAATTATTGAGTGCATAAAAAGCAAAAATGTAATTTAAACATTTAGTGTCTTTGTAATTTATTTTTTAATCGTGTTACGCTTTTTTTTATTTATTATCAATTAAAATAAAATTCGAATTTGAGGAAGAAATAAAATTCGTTGATTCGAATGTTCAGAATTGTAGCGATTTGGAAATTTTTTCTAAGAATTAAAAAAGAACCCTTCTGCAAATTTTTGAAGAAGTGTGTTCAAATTCGTCCAATATATTTAATTAGAAACTTTAAATTGAAGCTTTTACAGTGTTATTTAACTTTTCCCGTTTTCCATTTTCTTTGCCGTGGCCTCATATATATATATACACACATTCGTTTGATAGTTTTAGGATTGGCAGCACTGCTTTTACTCGAAACTTAATCCACGATAAGTTAACTTGATTGCTTCAGCACAAGTAGAAAGTTTACTCTAATTAAAAGTGAATGGTAAAATTAACTCTTGCTTTATCAGTAGTATATGGGGGAGAAAGTTTAGAGTAAGATTAAAGTTTATAATTTCAATGAAGAAATAACATAAATACACATATATGTGTGTGTGTGTGTGTACGAGAGAGAGAGAGAGAGGGGGGGGGAATATTTCCAAACTTGTTACAATTTCAATAAAATGATAAATAATATAATGTTGAGAAAGAGGAAGGCAATATTCAAACATATGATTTTATGGAAAATTGTCCATGTAAGCTAAAGGGGTTTTCTTTGATGACGAAAGTGCAAAGTGCGCATGTGTTTTGGTATTAGAATTTTGGTAGAAGAAAGACTATGCAATGAATAGTAATTAGTGTAAAGTTGCTGTGTTCAACATAGATAGGTGGTATCTGAGAATTCCGCTTTTTATGCAAATTACTCACTTTCGGTAATAAATTATTTTGTAAACTTTAGTTCAGGATTTTGTAATTCAACGCAAGTACCACTCAATGTGCTTATTTTTCAAAACAGCGTTTATTTCACTATTTTCTGATGTATCGTCTAAAGAAGATAATCAGAATTTTAAATATTATTATCACAATAATAATAATAATAATAATAATAATAATTATTCATTATATGATATTGAAAAAATTTCCATTTTTGTTAAAAGTGTAAAAATTAAGAAAAATCAAAACTGTTTCTTTGGAACAAAAGAAAAAAATACGTTTGTTTAAAATTAAAGGTCTAAAAATAACTGGTCTTTTTCTTCTATTGAAGTAGAAAGTTAGAACTGTATGTATATAATGATAAGGGAGAAGTTTAACAGTGCCAAAGATAACTCACCATAGCCCGAAGGTCGAAAATACGTGAAACTATTTTCTGAAAGTCACATCAAAGGAATACTCATGAATCCTTATCAAAGAAAAGGAAATTGTAGAACGTTTGGACTTTGAAATTTTCTTGTCAGCATTACACGCGGAAGGATGTTAGACCTTCAAATGATAATGATACATTGGGTGAGAAAAAATGACCGACTTCTTTCTTCCTCGTTTTTTTTTTTTTACTTTTATTAAATCGTCGTCTTTCGAAATACAAAATTAAAAGTCGAATCTATGTAATAAGTGGTTTCAAATGTTTAAAACGTGACTAAAAATCGAAAAAAGTGTCTATTTAGGAACTTTTAATGACTTACTTTAGTTAGATTGGTACGTCTATTGTTGGAAACGACTCTTTTTAAGGATCTCTAACGATCTTTAACGATTCTTTAACGATAAAAAAACGTCCCTGAAGAATGTAGGTCCTTTTTAAGTCCCTGAAGTTAGAGTCGACGCTGAGTGTCGAAAACAACTTCTTTTACCAAATCTAAGAGAATTAAAAATTGTTTCAAGGATTTAAGATTAAATGAGTGATTTCAACTTTATTTAACTTTACATTTTCGGTATTTAAAACCACAGTGCTGTGTATATTATTTCAAAATTTGCAAAAGAATTTTTTTTCGATCGAATATCTTTTTTTTTTTTTTTTTTGTCTTTTTCGCGAATTGAGTGTATTGAATTCTGTGAGAATTGAAAGAAAGAGAAATATAGCGATGCAATTTATTTCAAAGAGATGCAGCATTCTTCTTTAGCTATGAGTTATATTTAAGATCCTTGGGGGATTGAAGATATTACTAGATACTACAGTCGGGTAGATATTCGTTTTACCCTTTTTCATTCTAGGGCCCACTTACCTGACAATGAAGGCTTTTGTTTCCATTTAAGTAGATACTTGAATAAAGTTCAAGAAGACTAGATGATGAGCCGACGTGTAAATTGATGTGAGAATCATTATCTATATAGTCAGAGAAAAAAAATACACTTGACCAATATCACTTAATTTTTTCTTTTGTATTATATGTAGATATTATTTGCAAAACTTTTTTGAGGTAGCCCATAATTTTAACGTTTACAGGGTTGCCGCAGGTCAGGGAAGTCAGCGAAAGTAAAATTGGTCAGGGAAATCAGAGAAAAATCAGGGATTTTTAATAAAAGTACTGGAAAAAATTGAATTTTTAAAATTTATGAGAAAACTCTGAATTTTGATGTTTTTTTTTGTTTGCCTCGTAAACTATGAAATTACCACAAATTTTAATACAAAACCTTCAATTTTTTCTACTTCTGACAATAATTTCTTTTTAAATAACTTAATTTTTCAACAACTATATAAATGTAAAAGAACAATTCTTTGAGTTTCTAAAAATTTTTAGACTGAATCAGAATATTCTTTAGGGTCAGGGAAAAAGTTCAAATCAGTCAGGAAAAAGTTTGGAAATCAGGGAAATGTCAGGGAAAAATAAGATTAAATATTTGTGGCAAATTGTAACGATTTTGCTCGTAGAGGGCCAAAAGTTTATTTCAATCACAAACTAAATTTTTGTTAGGTATATAATATCAATCCACTCTGAGTTAATTTTTAATTAGATTTACGTTTCTTTGCAGATGACTAGTCACAAAAGGGACTTTGATAAAACCAGTGCTGGTAAGCTTTATTTAGCTGTCGGAAGAGAAGATATACATTTAATAACAGAAATCTTAGAAAAAGAAGTTGATGTTGATATTAACGCAATGACTCATTTTGGAGAAACATCATTGTATTTAGCTGCTAAAAAAGGAAATGTAGAAATGTGTCAAATGCTTGTAAACAAAGGAGCAGATGTGAATATAGTAAAAGATAATTCAGGTACCCCACTTCACATTGCAGCACGAAAGGGTCGTAAAGAAGTAGTTGAATTTTTGCTAGAAAACGGTGCAAAAACTAATGCTATAGATACTTTCAGGCATACACCATTGCATTTTGCTGCTATGGGAGGTTCTTCAGACATTGTTAAGATTATTTTAAAATTTAATGATAAAATTAAGTCTAGACATGTTGTTGATGTTTATATTAATGCTGTTACTAATGATGGACTTACAGCATTGTATTTTGCTGCCAAAAAAGGAAATGTAGAAATGTGTCAAATTCTTGTAAACAAAGGAGCAGATGTAAATATGGGACATAGAAGGTTTGGTACTCCACTTCACATTGCAGCACGAAAGGGTCGCGAAGAAATAGTGAAACTTCTACTAGAAAACGGAGGAAAAATTAATGCTTTAGATATTGAGACTCATAGACCATTGCATTCGGCAGCTATAGGAGGTTCTTCAGACATTGTTAAGATTATTTTGAAATTTGGCTCTAAAATTAATTCTAGAGATGAGAATGGGAGAACAGCTCTCTTTTACGCTTCTGATTATGGAAATGTAGAAGTTGTCAAAATACTTTTGGAATTTGGTTCTGATATTAACATTCCAAATTATGATAAACGTACACCATTAAATGATGCTATGAAATGTTTAGAATTCTATAATGAGCATATTAATGATTCTGATTTACTTTCTGGTTGTGAATCTGATAGTGACAGTAGTGAATATATTTCTTTAGGTCCTGAAACTCGTATAAGAAGATATTTATCGGTCATTGAAATTCTAAAACTTCATGTAATTAAATTAAAAGCAGCGAATTTGTTTGTAAGTAAACGAAATTCATTTCTAGTGAATAGAAATTCAGAAGAGAAAGATTTTCAGGATGAATGTGAAATTGAAGTGGCAAGTATGAAATGTGAAAAGATTAGTGATAGCAACATATCATTTTACGATGTCTTGGAAAAAAATACAAACTCATTAGCAAATTTCATGAGGAATGGAAATTTAGTGCAGGTTTTTGAATCAGAGGATTACAAAAGTCAATTTCCGATTTACAGCAGTATGATTGAACGTAATTTTAAAAGGGGTATGTTGAAAAAAGATTTAATTGAAAAAAGGAATAAAGTTTTTTCCCTTCTTTGTGGAAAATTTAGTCAATTACCAGAATACTGTAAGGAACAAATATTTAGCTATCTGAGTGATAAGGAGTTGAAAATTTTCGTCAAAGCTTACCAGGTTCTTGACATCAGTAATGTTTAATTTGTAAAAAGCGAAAGATATTTTTGTTAAAAAATGGTTTTGATTCTGTTGTATTTCTTCTTCTTTAAATTTTCTCAATTGGACTAATTTCTCATAACATTACATTAAGAGCGAAACCTTCTTATTTTGTAACGAAAAACAATGATTTTTTTCACCGCTTTATTAATTATAATTTATAATTAGTATTACAATTAATAAATTTATGTAATATTACAGTTAAGTATGTAATGAATAGTTTTAAAAATTTGAAACTATCGCGCGTCTACTTTTTGTACGTTTCTCGTGTTTGCAAAAAAGGTTTTTTTCATCTTAAAATTTAATTTTGCTAAAAATAAATAACTACTTCTTACGAATATAGAAAATATTATTTAACAGCATGGTTACTTACCTACAATAATTACATTTAAATTAAAATAAATGGAAATTTTCACACTGGAAAGAAAAGCTTTTCCTTGTTTTCCTAGTTTCATTGTATTCCCGCCATTAAGGGTCTCTTCACAATGCACACATTGGAACGATAAAATTTAATAATTTTAATTGAATCGTGAATTTCGAAAAGGGCTCAACTCTGAAAACAAGAAGAGCCATTTTCACATAACAAATTGATAATGAAAATGACTCTTACGGTTTTTAGAGTTGAGCCCTTTTCAAAATTCACGATTTAATTTTGATTGCTACTAGAAAAATAATTAAATTAAATTAAATAATATAATTGCTCCAATGGTATAATATTAAAATATAAGATAATATTAATTTCCATTGATTGAAATTAAATATTAATTAAAAAAATTTATTGAAATTCGTAGTGTAAAATTATAATTTTAATTAGTATTATTTATACAAAAATAATTAATATACAATGAGTTTAATTATTTTACAATTAGTATAAAATTAAACTTTTTCGACAAAATTATATAATTTTTAATACATTTTTTAATATTGGAAATTATAATTATAAATAATATATCTAATAAAAATTTCTCTTTTTTTTACAGTTAACAAGTGTCCGAAATTTCTAAAATCGCGAGTGAGTGTTTTTTGTGTTTCCTCTCAATGATGACACGAGTGCAACTTCAGTCTGGAGGGTTAATAACTAAGACTGATTTCTGTAAGTTTATATTTCATAAAATTTACAAAATTTGCATTTTTTATATTATTAATATTAATTTTTATTATTATTATACAGTGTTGCCAAATATAAAGCGTTGGTCAGGGAAATCAGGGAAAAGTTAGGGATTTTTATTAAAAGTACTGGAAAAAATTAAATTTTTAGAATTCGTAAGAAAATTCAAAATTTTGGTGTCTTTTTGTTTGCTTAATAAACTATAAAGTTACCACGAATTATAATACAAAACCTACAAATTTTTCTATTTCTGACAATAATTTCTTTTTAAAAAACTTCAATAATAAAGTAAATAAATTATTTAATGAATAATTTTACTTAAATATTTCAAAATTAATTCAATTTTAAAAGAGTAAATTACAATTTTCATAAGTAGATGAACATCAAAAGGTTTTAATTTAAAATTTTAAAGAACTTAGATTTTTGAAAACTTTTAAGAATTCAAATTCTTCTGAAATAAGTTAAATTTTTAAATATGTTTAATTAATTACTAAAAATAATAATCGATTTGTAGAAGAATTTTAGTTAAAACACTAAAAAAATAAATTTTGGTGAAGTTACGAATGTTTGCAGAAATTCAATTATTTTTAAAAGTAATCAAATTTTGCATAGAAATTTAATTATGTTTAAAAATTTTTTTTTAAATTCTCTTCAAAATTTCAATTATTTTTATAAATAATAAAATTCTTCTCCAAAGTTCAATTATTTTCAAAAATTTTAATAAAATTCTTATCAAAATTTCAATTATTTGAAAAAATTTTCCTGAATTCAATGAATTTCATTATCTACTATTTTAATAAAGTTTTCAAAAAGAATTCAATTATAATAAAAAAAAATTTAATAAAATTCTACGCAAACATTTAATTATTTTCATAAATAATATAAATTTTTCAGAAATTCAATTATTTGCCAATTTTTTATAAATTTCTTCGCAATGATTCAATTATTTTCATAAATAATAAAACTCATTGCAGAATATCTATTATTTTTAATAAAATTGTAATCAAATTCCTCGAAAAATGTAATTATTTTGAAAATTTAATTAAAATTCGTCAAAAGAATTCAATTATTTACAAATTTTTTAATAAAATTCTTTATGAGAATTCAATTTTGAGAAACGTACGATTATTCAATAGATTATTAATTTTTTTTATTTAAATAATTAAGTTCTCGTAAAATTTTCTAATAAGAATTGATTTAAAAATGAATTTCAATTTAAATTTTAGATAATAATAATTGAATTTTAAAACCTATGGCATGAATTTTTAGAATTAATTGATTTCTCAAAAGATTTTAAATTCAAATCTTTGAAAATTTGAATTTTGTAGGTACTTTTTACTAAAAATTCTGAAAAAATAATTTTTTTTACAAATTTTTAAAATTAATTAAATTTTGGAAAGATTTTAAATTAAAATATTTGAAAATTTGCATTTTGTAGGTGCTTTTAAGTAGAAATTCTAAAGAATTAATTTTTTTCTAAATTTTTAGAATTAATTGAATTTTGAAAAGGTTTCAAATTAAAATATTTGAAAATTTGAATTTTGTAGGTACTTTTAACTAGAAATTCTGAAGAATTAATTTTTTTCTAAATTTTTAGAATTAATTGAATTTTGAAAAGGTTTCAAATTAAAATATTTGAAAATTAGAATTTTGTAGGTGCTTTTAACTAACAATTCTGAAGAATTAATTTTTTTAAAAAAGGTTAATTGAATTTTTGTTTGCAATTATTTAAAGTCTTTATTTTCTAATATATATAATTAATTGAAGAATTTCAGAATAATCGAAATTTTTTAAAATTGAATTCTAAACAAATGAATTTGAAAATTCTCAAAGAACTTTTTTAAAAATTATTTTTTGAATTTATTTTTTTGAGTATTTAGTCACTTTTAGAATGAATCAGAATATTCTTTAGGGTCAAGGAAAAATAAAATTTTTGTCTGGAAATGAAGGAAAAATGTCGGGAAAAGAAAATTAAATTTTTGTGGCAACCCTGTTATTATTATTTAAAAAGCATTTAATTTTTTTTCGTACTTTTGCCGTTTTGAAATAATATTGAAAAATTCGGTAAATAATTCCAAAAGAGAAAATCGCTAACAAAACTACACTGTAAAAAAAGGGAGTTAAATTTTAACTCCCCCGGGGGGTCTATAAAAGTCGCACCCATTGGGGAGTTAATGCCAGGGAAGTTAAATAAAGAGAGTTAAAATTTAACACCCAAATGCTAACTCCCCATGGAAAAATAACTCGCGTGGGTGTTGAATGAAGGGAGTTAGAAATTAACTCTCTTTTGGAGTTGATTTTTAACTCGAAAAATTTCACTCCCAACTTCCGAGTCCGTTAACTCCCTAAATTTTTTACAGTGTACCAAAAAGGAATTATTGTAGCTTTAAAATTTAAGAATTTATTTAGTATATCTTTTTTCTCTTTTTTTCTGTTATTTTTTTTTTTCTCTAAAAGAAAAATGGTTTTGAGAGTTTGAATAAAGCGAAAGAACAGGCGTTGCCTGGGAGTATTGACCACGAGTATATCGATACTTTGGAAGGTTGAAGGTAGCAGGTAGCAACTCGCTCGACTACGTGTCTCCTGAGACTATGTAATCGCTAAACGAATTGATCTAGAAATTGAATTACGAACCGTTGCCTCGCGCATGGTAAGACTGAAAATACAGTGACCTATAGAAAATCGATATTTGAGAGGAAAAAAAGAAAATAATAATAATAATAATATTCTGAAACGTCAGCACTTGCGTTATGAATGAACTCATCTGGTATTAGTTGAAAAAATATTAGATATAAAAAAAATTAGGATAGGAGTAAAATCAAGAAAGACTTGTTTCGCTTACGTATCGCGTTTTATGTACTTTATTCATTAAAACTCAACGATATATCTTTTTGTTTTTTTTTGTTTTTGAATTTTCTTGCAACTCTCAGACATAACTTTCTTACAATGCACAATATAATAAAACCACGTGTCAGATGTATACATATCAGCGTCGATTAATTACACAAGGGAGCGAAATGTGCGCGGCGCGTAAATATTTTACAGAAGCAATAATACAATATCTCACGTCTTAATTACTTTGGTAATTATATTTTAACGCATAATTAACAATAATTTTCACCCCCCCCCCTTTTTCCTCCCGCATTCGCTTATACAATAAGGGAGGAAAATTATTTAATGCGCAATTATCAAGAACGATCAATTTCATTTAATCGTTATAATTTGCTGCTTGAAATTAATATTTATAAATATATACATAAAGAATGTTTAATTATTTAGAATTAAATAAAGAATTAGAAATTAGATGAATTGAATACAAAGGGGAATGAATATATAAAAGAGAGTAGAGGAGCGCTCTACGTTTGCAGTGATTGGCTTGTGCGTTGGGAAGAGTGGGGGAGCAGTGTCGGCATGGTGGGGGAGCCGCTTCTCTCTAGCCTTCTCATAAATATTTCTTTTTCTTTTTATTTTAATTTAATCAAACAATAGATAAAAATAAATTCCGATATAAGAAAACTATTATTATATGCTCGATAAAAATATCTATTATTTTCCATTAATTTTATCTCGTGTGAAAAATAGTTTTATTGAAACGTAATGAGAATTTAATGAGGCAATAATGAAATAAAATTGTAAATATAGAAATAAGGGATGAACAAAAGAAAAAAAAATTGTGGCAAAAAATACGAATTCACTATTTATAAATTTTATCAGAGAGAATAATGTAGATTTGCGTATTTTTCTCTCTCAAGTGTATAGATCTATTATATACTTGAAAACTAAAGAGGACTTTGAAAACCTTTGCAAACCGCCTCATTTGCGTTTCTTGTGCGCTATTCAAATGAAAAGAGAAAAAATTGAAAGCGTATATAGATGTTGACTATGGGCGATTAATACGAGCGATTTTCGATAATCGATATTTACAAATACAACTTATACGCTTAATGTATAAATACATTTTTTTTTAATATTTAATGCGTAGAGATAATTTTTTTTTTTATAAATATATATATAATATGCACA